GTCTATTGAAACATTGCATTAAAAGAAAAACAAGCAAACATGTAAAAAATTTGTTTTCAGAAAAAGGAAGTAAATGAAGGGTGGCTAATATCAATCCTTCAAAAACAATCCAAGCAAGATAATAGGGATGGCACTTGCATCATCCTTACCTAGTATCACAGGCAGGAATTAACATATAGCAATATATATATATATATATAGCTATTCAATCATAGTTGAATTTAATTTATCCTATTTTTGTCTCCTAACGTTCTACTACACTTTGTGCCTGTACTATTATATAAGGATGATCCAAATGTCATCCCTACTATCTTGTTTGCATTGTTTTTGAAGGATTGGTATTAGCTATCCTTACATTTACTTCCTTTTTTGAAAAGTTTTTTCTTTACATGTATATAATGGGATATGTTAGTAGATATTTAACTTTTACATATATGACTTGGTAAGAGCATTTTATCAGCGATTAAATGTATCTGTCATTGAATTTTATGAAAGTTGTCATCTAAATGTGAAACGAGCTATTTTTAGGTCTTTTTTGACAATCATTCTTTATAAAAATTGTAATAATAAAGTATGTAAAAAGTCATCATAGTTCTTTTGTTATTTCATTGATTGAAAACAATATGATACACTCCAACCGAACCACACTTTAGCTATGCTTTTCGCGGCAGTGTTAAAACACCTTCAAAGAGACGATATATATGTATTTACAAGATATGTTAATAATTATGAAAACACACAGGTGACACGCATAGAGAGGTCACGAATAATAAGAAGCCGCAACTGAATTATCACTTTCTCATTACTATAAAACTATAAAAGAAAGTTGAATGCATTATACAATGATCTAGTATTTTGTATTTGCTTTAAACAGAACAGTGCACATTGTTTCCACGATATCATAAGGTTATTAAGGTATGATTGTGAACTATTGTTCCGAATGCCCTGTATGACTCTCAGTACACATTGTTTCCACGATATCATAAGGTTATTAAGGTATGACTGTGAACTATTGTTCCGAATGCCCTGTATGACTCTCAGTACACATTGTTTCCACGATATCATAAGGTTATTAAGGTATGATTGCGAACTATTGTTCCGAATGCCCTGTATGACTCTCAGTACACATTGTTTCCACGATATCATAAGGTCATTAAGGTATGATTGTGAACTATTGTTCCGAGTGCCCTGTATGACTCTCAGTACACATTGTTTCCACGATATCATAAGGTTATTAAGGTATGATTGTGAACTATTGTTCCGAGTGCCCTGTATGACTCTCAGTACACATTGTTTCCACGATATCATAAGGTTATTAAGGTATGACTGTGAACTATTGTTCCGAATGCCCTGTATGACTCTCAGTACACATTGTTTCCACGATATCATAAGGTCATTAAGGTATGATTGTGAACTATTGTTCCGAGTGCCCTGTATGACTCTCCACAATTCAGCCAAGTTATTTGGTTACCGTTTGATCTTCTCAATTTGTATACAAGACTATATTCAGATCAAGACTTTGTGCAGGCCCAGTCATGCTTTTAAGTGTTTCTTTGGCCGCTTTTTGTTTCTCCCAGGTATAGTTTCGCTACAAAATATTGCATCCTTGGTATCACTGTTATACTGGAAGATGAATTCCTGTTTAACAGACATTGTTTCCAATGGAATGAATGCGTAAATCTCCAAAACCATCCTTTGAGACACAACCTAAACTTTTCTCCTTTTGCCATTGAATAAACTATCACCGATTGTTTATAAACAGTTTAAATTTGGATTCCTCTGTAAAGTGCTCTCTTATCCAGCTTAGCTCATCCCATTGTTTGAAGACTGATGAACATTGCAGTGTTTAGTACGGTTATCTCTCCTAAGCAGTAGTTTTCTGAGTAGCTACACGTCCATTGAGGTAATTTTGAGCTACCACGTATTATACAGTTTCTTAGAGATATCATTCACACCTGTACTTACAGCTACGTTATTGGAAAGATTTCTACTGGATTATCGTGCATCACGTAAAGAGCATACACTGAGTCACTTATGAAGTGTTTGGGCTTTCCACATATTATGCTTCTATAATTAACCCAACTATTTTAATTTACACTTAGCAGAATTTCCACACAGAGTCTACTGAAACATGAATTTTTACCTCAATCTGTCGCTTAGAGTAGCCTTCATAGTCATAGCTTTGACTTCTACACGTTTGTCAGGAGGCATTTCTGTCGTTGAAGCCAAGAGTACGTCACCATACTACTACTGGGAATAATATGTTTATAGTCATTATGCTAATGTGCATTGTGATAGGGTGGATGACAGCCATTCGTAGTGTAAACTATCAACACGTGACTGTACTCTGGTGCAGCTCATTTTCATACAGTAGAGAGGGACCAATCCCATAATATTTGCGTTAGAAAGCGAACTTTCTAATTAACCATTCCTGTCTTTCAGTAATTTGTGATACTTGTTCCCACAAAAATTGTTCAAATAGAGGAAATTGAGGTAAGACGGTCACTTTTGGTGCCTATCATATTGCTGTCGGCCTGATGAGTCCTGGTATTGGGTGAAATGCCTCTTTGGCAATGGATATGGTAGTAGTAGTGTGGTTCACATGCTATTACTATTATTCTTTGCTTTTACTCATGTGTTCCTAGAATTATGACGTTTGTTTGTAATTAAGCACAAAACTACACAATGGGCTATCTGTGATATGCCCACCACAAGTATCAAAACCCGGATTCTAGCGTTGTAAGTCAGCAGACATACCGCTGTGCCACTGAGGGGCAATTATGATGTGAAGCCATCTAGAGTAAACACTCTAGCAGAAGTGCACGAATGTGAATGATCAACGCGAGACTTTTTGTTTTGAATAACTTTGAACTAGCGTAAATACTTTGAATCTTTTGTGGTTATAAAGTTGATATTTGAGAGAATTTTAATTTGTTCACTTGAAACAATGAGTAGTTATAGATAGTAAAAGAAACACAGTTCAAGTTAATAGATTTTTAATAACGCGCGATTGCTCTATGATGAGTGGCCTAGGGTAAGACGCCCTCCTCTTGGGGTCGACTTACCACACACCAATGATATATATATATATATATATATACGTCATAGGCTTCGAACACGATGTACGCCGTTGCCACACACTAGTACCCACGTTATTTTGAGTCATTGTCCTAGATAATGCGCAATTTACGCATGACACATGGCCTTTTCGATCCTTGCCTGTCCACCGGCGGGAC